GGAAAACATCTCAAGAATGTCTCTAGCCTCCTCTTCTCTTTTCTTCCTCTCTAAGAATTGTCTCTAAAAACTATCTACCCAAAAACATATATATAAGCATATGTGTAAAAATGGCTCATATTCCTTATATAGGTAGCTCAAATGTCACACCTAATGGTCTAGGCTCGTACACAAGGGCTCCTCCAATGATTGCATAATGAGACAACTTTTAATGAGTTGGAAATATATTTTTTTCAGCTTTGAGAGGGTTCGATCTATCGAACTTGTGCTGTGATCGATCGAACGTGGCTGAGATTTATCAAACTTTGGCTGGATCGATCTTCCCATAGCGACGCCTTTCTAGATAAGGACAGATCTGAGATATTTTGGGAAAAGAGACAAAAGTGGTAGGTGGGGTGGTAAAACAGGATACGATGAAATCTTTCCGATTGGTCTGAGAATTGTTGGATCGATCGAACTTTGTGGGATCTTTGGATAAGGACAAAAGAGCTTGGATCCATTTTGAAATGTCTAGATTGATGAACTTTCGATCGATCGAAGTGTTTTTGTGATCGATCGAATATGCTGAATTCCATACTTTGCTTCAATCTGCTTCCACTTTGCTCATACTTCCATCCAGCTTGGGGATTAGCACCTAAAAAGGGCAATAACACGAAATTAGTCTAAAACGGGAAAGTAAGATAAATAAAGGTCCTAAAATACCTAAGCTTAAGGGGTTTAGATGCGCACTTCTCAGCGCTTATCTATCATGTGTTTGAGATGATACGAGGAAGACATTGCTTAGTGTTAAGGGTTAAGATATGTTCAAAAGGGGCGTTATAATATTTTTATATTCATAAGGGCAGTATGGTCAATTATTTTTAGGGTTAAGTACAGAGACACCACTTAAAGTTTGGGGAAAGGCCATGCTGATGAAAGTTCTCCTATTTTTGAATAATAACACCCCTTCAAGTTTGAAAAATGGACAAAAAGACTCTGAAGATGGTGAATTGACCTTATTTCCCTTTAAAATAAAATTAACATTTTAATTAACTTAAATACCATTAAATTAAACCCAAACCCATATAAAAACCCAAACCCGCCTGTGTAAAGAACCTTCTCCCCTTTTCTTTCTGTACACACACACACACACACACATACACACACACACACACCATATCGTCATCACCCCTCAGCCATACACTACATCTTCATCACCCCTCAGCCGCCGCCGCCGCCTCATCATCATTCTCAGTTTCATTAACACCTGCGCTCTGCAATTAGCTTCCCTTTATGTTAATTGTGAATTTGTGAATATGAAGTGGATGATGTTGGTTTTCTTCATCTACAACAACTTTGCTTCTGTTGTTTGGTACTAGTTCATTCAGCTTTTTAATTGGTCATGGCATTTCTCAGATCCCAATTGCAAGCTTGTTGATGTAACTGGTCATGCCTTGCTTTGGTCAAAAACTTTACCAATTCACAGTCTCTTTGCTGATGTAAATATGTATTGTTTTCGATATACGACCTTATCCATGGCTTCCTCAATCCAAACCCATTTCACACACTACAATATCATCGATTCACTAACCACCCAAATTCAATTTTCCAACAAATTTTTGACCTTTTTTTCATCAGCAACAATACCACCAAAAATAGAGAAGGACACCATAAAATATATATACACACACAGTTGTAAACACGCACGCATAGATACATATAGAGAGAGAAAGTAATCAAAGTATAAGAACTATCTTCTCTGTTTTAGAGAGAGGAGCAAAACCCAAAAAGTATACATCTTAATTCTTCAAATTTTGGATATATTCAGCTATAACAGAGCACCAAGAGGAGAGAAGAAGAACCCAGAATCAATATATAGATATATACACACACACACACACACACATATATGATTCAGAAAAGGGAAGAACTCGAGCTTTAGAGACAGAAGCTCCAAATGGAAGTCAAACACCGAACAGTGAGAACTCTGGTAATGAAGCTGAGCTCAATATCGGAACAAACTCGAACTGAAGCTCTCTTTGAGCTTTGTCTCATCTCCAAACATGACCCGAAAAGTCGATCTCTGATTGTCGACGAGAGCGTAATACCCTACATCGCTGAAACCCTCTACTATTTCTCTCCAATCTACCAAGAAAACGCCATCGCCACCTTCGTCAACCTCTCTATCTCCAGCCGCAAAGCCCTAATATCCACCCACGGCCTCCGCGAAGCCCTAATGTTTGACTACAATCATTTGGGGCAAGGTTGAGTTCGGCGATGCCCTCTTCGGTAACGCAACCATCGATGATGTTGATTTAGATGGGTGGGCGGTGGAGGGGAAGATGGGCAATGGCGGTGCCTGTGTGGTTGTATGTATATATATATATATATATATATATATATATATATATATAAAGGGAGAGAGAGAGAAAAATGAAAAGGGTAATTTGGTCTTTTAATTACTTTGATATTTTATAATTAAAATTAATAAATAGTGTAGGGTAAAATTGACTTTTCATATGTTTTAAGGCTCTGTTTGACTTGTAAATTTCATAAGGGGGTGTCATTGTCCCAAAATAGGTAACTTGTATCTGAGTGTCCTTTTAACAATCCTCAAGGGGTGTTGCTGTACTTTACCTTTATTTTTATATTTTCTCTCATGTGACAATCATATGTTCATTTACCGTTCATACAATCTTCAATTTTTATTTTCCTTTGTGACGTGTGTGGCTGTGAATGTCTGGTGTGTTGGTTACGCTTCTTTCTCTGGCCGAGTAGGAAGCTTTTATATAGTCAAGGTTGCTAGTTGTTGTAGTGCACATGGTATCTGTTTTTGGCCTAGTTATATCTTAACTTTCCATTTCTTTCTGCACTGTTCTTATCATAAGTTTTTTTTTTTTTTTTTCTTATTGTTGGGTTGTGCGGAATCTGTGGTGGGTTCGTGTGTGTGTTTTGTTCTTTTGGTGGGCTCTAGCAAGGGTGAGAAGGTGGATCATACTATACTTGCTCAGTTCCAAGGCATAATGCTGACCCAAAAGGAAAAAGAGTCCATTGTGTTGTCGGTTGATGATATAGCCCAGAGTGACCAAATGTGTCGTTCTAGTCTATTTGGGAAGGTGTGGGCCTCCAAAACTACAACCGTAGTGGGAGCTAAGTTTACCTTTGGTAAACTTTTTAACAAGCTGTAGCCCAAAGCTCAACAACAAGAGTCTCTGACCAAGAGGTTTCAAGTGTTCAAGGCAGCATGTAATTTGTTTCAGTTGATTATCCCAGATGCCAGTATTCGTCAACGTATTATTGAAGGCTGTCCATGGCTCTTTGATGGACATCTTGCGGTGCTTAAGGAGTGGGAGGAAGGATTGTTATGCTCGGATTCCCCATTTCATTTTTCTCCCTTTTGGATTCAGCTTCTTGATGTGCATGTTAATCTTTTATCTGAGAAAGTAAGGCGAAAGATAGGTAATACATTTGGTTGGTGTTTGAAAGTAGGGCTGCGTGATAAAGGCTTGGGTAATGGCAAAGAAAAGGTGCCAGCTGACAGTCGTGTTCTTCGTCTTCGAGTTGAGCTGGATATCACGAAGCCTTTTAGGCGCCATCTTCTTTTAACGGACCCGACGGGAGTGGAGTCTTGGGTGCAAGTGCAGTATGAGAAACTTCCCATTTTCTGTTTTGTGTGCGGAGTTATTGGCCACCATTAGAAATCTTGTACGACTGGAGTTTCACTACAACCTGGTGATCTTATGGAGTATAGGAGTTGTTTGGGAGTGGAAGGTTTTATTAAGAAAGACCTTTGAAATATGGAGCGTGAGGTGGTTGATTTGGGTGATGGGTCTAGGAAAAATTGGTTGTATATTTAAGACGGTGAAGTGGATAGTGAAGATAGATCTAGGGGGTCTACGTCTTTTTTTTGGGCTGTGACGAATGCATGTTTGGCCGTCTGATTCACGTGATTTGTTTGTTGTGCTTGCTCTTGATCCGGGGTTACCGGCTGGTGGATCTTCGGCTAATGCTGCAGTTGTTTTGTTTAGTGTTGGGGGACTGTCCAATGTGGGTGTTGGTGCTAGTTTAGGGAACTGTTCTTTAGGTGATGGGATTATTTAGAGTCGGATTGGTATGTGTGAATTAGGTAATGGGAGTGGTAAGACTAATTGTCAGTTTGGTGTGCCTGCTCCTTTATTGGAAGGCTGTATGGTTCCTAGTTCTTCATCCTAGAGTCATGTGGCCTCTGTGCAAAATAATGAGACTATGGCTTATGATCCTGTTACTTCTCCAATTAAAGGTAGGATTCTTCTTTTACAAAGGTGGGATCAGATGTCTAAAGCTTGGAAAAAAAGGAAGAGCCGGGTGAAGCCTTTCTTTGGTTTGACTTCAGATTCCTCGGCTCCTTCTCAGAGCCAAGGATCCTCTCCTATTCGTAAAGGTCAAAAGAGGCGACAGTCTTCTTCTGGAGGATCCCAAGGGGGTCGTTTGAGTAGGGAGAAGAAACAGAAAGCTTTGGGTGATAGTTCCTTACCATTGTCAGTAGACAAGGTTTCTGCGGTGTTGAAGTTGGTATGCGGTCTGAATCATCCGGTAAATTTGGAACTTAGCTTGGGGATTCTTATCATTCTGAGTCCTCCTAGTTTTTTGCTACTCAGTTGGCTCTGCTCGTGGGTGCTAGTACTCCTACCTTTAATGATATTGTCTAGTTTGGCTGTTGTCATGATCGTGCTCTTGACTTTTGCATGTGTTAGTTAGTTTGGCTGGTTTTGTGGCTGTTTTTTGTAGCTTGTACATAGGAAGCTTTGGCCATGTTCTTTTTTTTTGTAGGGCTGGTTCTTCCACTAAAACTGACACCTCTTCTCTTGTTTGTCAAGCCTGTGATCTTGACTCTAAAGGGTGTTAGTTAGGTTTAGTTGGTTTTGGGTATGTTGGTTTAATGTGTTTTTGATCTTTTGTCTACGGCTGCTGTTTATTGCTGGTATGTTCCATATGTAGATGCCGTATGGCGTTTGGCGTGTCTTCTTGCCAGGGTTAAGGAAGAAGAAAAAAAAAAAAAAAAAAAAAAAAAAAAAAAAAAAAAAAAAAAAATTATTACATGACCGAAAGGTGGGTTGCAACTAAAGTAAAAAACGAATTGAAAATATGTCCGTGAAGAGGAAAAGACTAGGGGGTAGTTTAGTAATTTTTCATACGAACCAAGCTTCAGGTAACAGCAATGTTTAGATTGTACATTTCTTTTAGATGTTCGACAACCCCTTTCTCTCTCTCTAAACCTTCTTCGATTATCTCTCGATCTGGTTTTCAAGAAATCGACCATGGCTTCATACGATCCAAGCTTCAGGTAAAAGCAATATTTAGATTGTACATTTCTTTTAGATGTTCGACGATCCAAGTTTAGCGATCCAGTAATTCAAACTTCTTGAGAGAGTTTTATATATTAAATTAACTTTGAAATTAAGTTTGGATCACTTTTAACTTGTTCTTTGAATTGCTTCTTTAAGCGATCACTTTATTTCATTAGTATTATTATTTTGATAAAAATGGATTTACACTTTACAATTGTCCAGCATAATTTGTGTATTTCCATCTGAGGCACACTTTACACAGTTTTTATATGCGTGAAGTACAACGCACACAGTAAATAGGTTAATCAAAATTAGAAAATAAAATGTTATTAGCTTTTCTTTATTTATCTTATAATGTTTTTGTTTGTTCAGTGGTTTCTTCTGAATGCTATGGTTTGGTATTTTACGAGCTTTAAATTATTTTAAGAAAATGATAAGGGAAACTTTACCCAATGTGTTTTGATAACTTCTACGGATTTGCTCATATATATTATTAGGTTGAAAATCTGTGACAAATTATGGGGTTAAAAAATATAAAAAATTATAATATATATATGCTTCTGTGTTTTTTTTTTTTCGCAAACAGAAACATAACTTGTGTTTTAACCAACTTTAAAGATAAAACTAGTGACTCACCTCTCATTTTGGCCAAGCTTCAAGTTATTTAACACAGAGACATGAATGTACCGATAAAAGGGAAAACATGGTATTAGCAAATTACATAACAAAAAGAAAAGCTACTCAAGACCACTGGAGTTTCTTATTTCTAGTGAAGAGCTTGATGAACTAGTTATACTTGAATCATTTGATTCTACATTTCATTTCAAATAGCCAAGTGGGAAGTTCGGTTTGTTCCAAAAAACAGCACAATAATGATTTTGTGATCATGTGGCAGGAGAATTTTTATGTCAATTAAGCCAAAACCGAGTGAGTGAGTGACCTAAGTTTGTGGTCATGGCAGAGCAGTATGTTAAAGAAAAAAAAATATATCTTTACTTTTTCTCCCCATTTCGGTACCAACTAGAGGTAGAAATTACTCACCAAATTGAAAATGTTGGATTTTTTTGTTCTCCATTGTTGTGCTTTGAAAACTGAAGAGAGCTAGAGAAGAAATAAAAAAGAAAGAAAAAGAAAGACCTATGCGATTACTCTATTTTTGCTACTGTGCTAGTCCATTTACTTGGTTAATAGGTTTTTTTACCTCTCATGAAAACCTGCAGGAAAGAAAATTGTGTCTGTGCTAAAACCTTAAGCGTGAGGGGAAACGGGGAGGGCTTGAACTTACGAAGACAAGTGTACAACAGTTCCTGCCTGAAGAGACCAAAGAGCTTACCATAACATTGATTGATCAGCTGTACAAGTCATGGAGATGATCATGAGAAAAAACTTCTGGGATTTAATTAAACTGGACTGAATTCGTTGAATGCCACAAGCTGAAGAAGGGAGAGGCAATTTCCATTTACAGGCTAGAGCAGCCCTAGGAGAAAGAGTTTATGATCGATCGCGTGCAGGAAAAATTCCGAGCAAGGTACTGAAGGAAATGAAGAAGGTGCATGCTGCAGCTTCAAGGTGAAAACTGAAGTGAGTTTGGGCAGGAACGGAAAACCTTCAGCGAATTAAGCCTGGTAAAAAAATCCGTAGGGGACTGGTCACGGCTATGCATGACATCCATGCGAAAAAGCACCTCAAGTGGTGCCTGAAAAAAACTTGAGGGGTACAGTTGTTGCTGATAAAGGGTAGGCTTGGTGATGTTATTGGAGGTGCAGTGTATTAAAGTTACATAGATCTGAAACCATCCACCGATTAAAACCGACACCTTCCCCCAACTCCACCACCTCCCCATTTGTCGGAACCTTGCTAATATGTTGATAATCATGCCCCTTTTACATTACTGTTAGGTACTGGTACATTGTCCTATTCGGTTTCATTATTTATTTGTTTTTTGTTTTTGTTTTTGGTAACAGCCCAGGCCTCTCTTTCTGTATGGACTAATTACTTTTGTGGCCTAGGTGGCTTTGGGCCTATGCTGTTGGGCTTGGGGTATGCCCCAACTACCTTTGTAAAAGTCTCTTATTTTTATATTACACATTCTTACTTACGCAAAATAATAATAATAATAATAATGTTTTAGTTTAAACTTATTAGTGAATTCCGATCCTAAAAAGAAAATATCATGTTATGACATATTAAAGCATTATATTTTGACCGATATGTCCCTTTTAGTGGACAGGCAAAAATATATAGAGGGGTCCATTTTGAGTACTCGAATGCGAGGAAATCGAATATTTTTAATAGTACATTCTAGAGTTGTAACTTAATTCAGATGAATCCATTTTGAGAGCACTCGAAAAGGAGGAAATGGATGGATCGAATATTTTTAATAGAACATCCTAGGGTTGTAACTTAATTTTGGATAAATTTTTTATTTCAAATTCAAATTTTAGATAATTGATGGAAAGGGACGATGGCGATGGCGATGGCGATGGCGATGCCGATGCCGATGGCGGTGGTGGTGATAGAAGGTCACAATGGCGATGGCGATAGTGATGGCGGCGGCGGTGGTATAAGTTCACAGTGGCGTTGGTGGTGGAGAAGCGGTGGTAGAAAGTGATAGTGTTGGAAGGTGGTGGTGGTGGTGGTGGTGGTAGTGGGGGTGATGGTGGCAGTGGCAATGGCAATGGTGGTGGTAGTTGTGGAAGGTCATGGTGGCGATGGTATTGGAAGGTGGAAGAAGTCGGTAATGGGGGCCGTGGTAGATGGTGGCAATGGAGGGCGGTGGTGGTAGTGGTGGAAGGTTGTGGTGGTGGTAGTAATGGTGGAATGTGGTGGCATCAGTGGTGGTGGTGGAATGTGGTGGCAGAAGCAGTGGAAAGTGGTGGTGGAAAGGTAGTGGTACGTGGTGGAGGAAAGGTAGTGGTACGTGGTGGAATAAAAGACCAAGAGAGAATATATGACAATATTGTCAATCTATGAAAAATACATAGGCAAATTAATAATATAACACATTTATCCTCATAAAAAAATTTACTTTTTGAAAGGAGGCTTCAAAAGTAACATTTTCTTACTTTGCTTAAATGCGCTTCCTAATCGTTGGCTTTCGAGAAAGCGTTTTATAGATGTATAACCAAACGTCACAATTTTTTTCAAATGAACTTTTTAAAATGGAAAGGACTTTTTGAGGCTTCACGAAACTCCCCAAATGGGTCACATGGTGAGATTGTTATGAAAGAAAAAATGATGGATTAAATTGAAGTTAGATTTTAGAATCATAAAATTGGAAACAATATTAGAAATAACTTTTCCCATATAAAATCATAAAATTGTTAGGAATTTTAATAAGTGAATTAAAACTTTGAAAGCACTCAATAGACTTGTAATGTCTTTATGCCTTGTGGTTCGTTTGGTTAGCTTATTTCTCGTCGTAGTCCTCACTCTTTTACTTACAGCTTCTCATTTTTACTTGTAGCTTGTTGGTTATCAGTAACATCCTCAGCTGTTTATAGGCATCACATTCACCTTCTAAAACTCTATGTAAATTATAATTATTCGTGTTAAGCCATTCATCACAAATAAACATGAATCCCATAATCTTAGAACTTCAATTATTTTCACATCCATAATTATGCATAAATATATATAGTTAGATATACATACCTCGATTCATGATATCAAACCTTGTTGAGATTAAATCCAACGTCTAGATTCTTTAACCACGAACTAATCTGCAACTCTGATCAACAGGCAAAGGTGGAAACTGGTTTCTCTCTCTTGGCCTTTTGCACACATAAAACTTTTAGGTGTTGTATCCTTAATCGTACATAATTGATGGAGTATATGCACTTTTATAAAGGCAGAGAGAGGACCAATTTTCCTTTTAGTAACATAATTCTACTTTCCATCAAAGTAAGGAATTAGAAGGAAAACACTTCTCCAATAACTAATTACCAAAAAAGTAATTATAAGTTGACCAAGAATAAATAATATTAATTGATATCTATTTACTTAGCCATCAAGTAATATGTCACATGTCCAAATCATGTGGGTTACAATTAAATAAATAATATTACATTCTCCCACTTAGCACATATGATAACTTTTGTAGTGGTTTAGTAAAATAGTCATTAGTGTGCACCATAAATCAAATTAAAGTATTAAGTTGGTCATCATAAATACCATGGTAAACAAACTACCAATGTGAGTCATAGCGGTTGTATGTCCCTAAATGACACAGTCCTTTCCATGTACCACAACACTAGTAACCTATTCAACATAGTCTATAAATGAGAAGTATCAATAATGATCTAACAATAATGTTTTTTTCAAGACTATTCCTATTACCATTTATTAAAGCAATACGTACATGTACATTAATTAATAGTAAATATCAGAAACACATTTAATCAGCGCAAAATGTCAAATATATATAAGCACTGTTAAGCAATCCACAATTAAAAAATAATCATCATTGACTACATTCAAGACTCATTCTTTTTAACATGTTCCATAAATGTCTTGGGTGGTAGTCAATTCGTTAATGAATTGCAATCATAAGTTGTGTGTTTATATATTCAATTGACATTCGTTGTTTCTAAACATCTTCTTTAATGATAAAGTATTTAAACTTTAGAATACCTATCATTTTTCATACAAGAAGATCAACAATTGCAGTATAAATTTTCAGCAATCTGAAAATGGTACTCATAACTCCAAGTCCTGAAATAAATCCTGCAATCATAAATTGTAACCTCAAAGCATGTTACAAATTTAAAAAATTCATAATAGACAAAGTAATAAAAATTACTTTGTACTTTTTCATAATATTGTTTTTCCAGCCAAAAGAAACAAATAACTAATTAAAAAATATCTTCCTAAGTGTGAGCATATAATCTTTTATCCCATATCAACTTTGTATATACATCAAACTCCACAATATATACATAAGGAATATTTTTCGTTTCTTTATTTTTTAGCTAACTCATTCTTTGGAATTGCATCAGGCTAGATTTATCCCCTTTTCTATATGGAACTATACTAGTTGAACAATGTTCCATATCAAATCTTTCTAGAACTCCTTCAATAGATGCTTTCTAAGATAATCCTAAAAATCCATGTGATCTATCATGAAATATTTCTATTTCTATCACGTAGGATATCTCAACCATATATTTCATTTCAAAGTTCTTAGAGATAACTTTTAGTTTCATATAATAAACTAAGATCACTACTAGCAAACAAAATATCATCAATGTAAAGAATCAAAAATATAAACTTACTCCCACTAACCTTCTAGTATATACACTGATCAATAGTGTTTTCCTTAAAACCAAAAGAAATAATGGTATCATTAAACTTAATATACCATTATTAGGAAGCTTGTTTAAATCTATATATTGACATCTTAAGTTTACAGACCATGAATTCTTTACCCTCTAATGTGAAGCCTTCAAGTTGTTCCATATGAACTTCCTCTTATAAACTCCTATTCATAAAAATTGGATTCACATCCATTTGATGTAACTCTAAATCATAATAAGCTACTAATGCCATGATATTTTAAAAGATTCCTTCTTAAATACTAGAGAGAAGGTTTCTTTATAATTTCTTTATTCATGACACTAATCCATTTAGTAAAATCATTACTGTTAATGGCTTGTGAATATGTAACCGGATCCGTATATATCTCACTATATATCAAAATCAGATTCTTGCAGATATATCACATAGTCATCCGGAATAGCAGATCTCTTTTCTTTTTGAGATCTTCTTAATGTTATTCCTCTGTGATTCTTCTATAATCTTTTCATTGGTGACAATCTCATTATGGAGTTGTTGACCATTCAATTATTTTTCGTTGTTATACGGTTCAACAACTGAAGGAACAATTATTTCCTTAGAAGTTATGGATAAATAAATTTATACCATAATTTCTTGAATGATCACATTCTTATTTTTATCACTTCCACTGACTTCACCATTCTCAATGAATCTGACATTACCGGTTTCAATAATTATCGTACTATGTTTAGGATAGTAAAACTTGTACTCTTTAGATTACTTAACATCTACAACATTATGGGTAATGAGGAATTATTTAACATACTCCTAACCAATTCCATAAGAGTACGATTACGCCTTACAGTTACATGCTTCTGCTATGGCATGTATAGCAAAGTGTATTGAACACAAATGCCATATATTTCAAGGAGTTTAACAAACGGTTAGAGTATTAACCTGTTTTATCATACTTTCCATAATATTCACCACCTCTATATGACCTTATGATTTTCATTTTTCTATCTAATTATTTTTCAACCTCATTTATGTATACTTCAAGAGTACTCACTGCTTGAGATTTTTCATACAACAAATAGATATATCCATAACGTGAAAAATCAACTATAAAGACAATAAAATACTTTTCTCCTCCAAAAGATGGAACATCAGAAGGTCTACAAATGTCTGTATGAAAAAATTTCAAGAAGTTATGTACTTATTGTGGCTCATTTCTTTGTGTGTTTGGTTTGTTTACCCTTAATACAATCTACACACACCAAAATCAGTAAAGTTTAAATTCAGAAGAATCACATCCTTTACTAATTTTTCAAACCTTTCACTAGATATTGACCTAGTCTTTTATGTAACAAGAAAGATAAATTTTCTATTAATTGAGCTACGTTTAATTCTAACATTATGATGCAAGATCAAAAGGGTTTTTTAATAAATAAATTATTAAGTTTGAATTTATAGAAATCATCAACAATAATGCCATAACTCACAAATTAGAATTTCTTGAATAAACATCATTATCAAATTTAAATGAAAAACCATTAATATAAAGTTTTGAAATAAAATCAAATTATGAGAAATTGAATAAATATAAAAAATTTAAAATAATTTAAATTTAAAATAATTTAAATAAAATCCACTGTTTAACATTAAACATAATGTCACAATGGTTTCAACAAAACTTTTCCCAATTATCATAAATAAGAAATTCTTATTTGAATTTGTAGTTTAGGCCATAAGAAATTCTAGCATCTATTAGAAAAATAAACATTAGTACTTAAGTCAACCTATCATGTATTAGAAAGAATTTCAATAAGTAATTCGAAATATATAAAAACCAAAAACTTACCATTCTTTTTTGAATCATTCTTTATATTTCATGTAATCTTTCTAAAAGTGTTCAATACATTAATGATACTTTTTCATTATTACATTCCCTTCTTTTAGTAGATTGACCTAAATATTTTTATCTTGAGTGTTGCTCACTTAATGCCCTTTCAGGCTTATTCCCAAATTTCTTTCTAACTTCTTAAGTCATGAGATAAGCATAATGATTACATGCTGCTTAAGCCTTGTCTTCTCCTAAATTAACATAATGGTCAATTCTTTCACTTTCCACTTGTCTTAATAGTGTTAATTCGAAATAACGCATACTGAGTAGACAACAAATTGAGAATAAATTGAATAAGAAAAATTCTCTTCACAATCATCCATAAGGTTCTCAATTTTGCAGCAACATTAGTCATCTAAATAAAAACATACCCATACATGGTAATAGTACCAACAAAATTGCATAGTAGTGATAAAAATTAATAATTTTCGTTTTTGATATTTATCTACAATACGAAAATATTCTTCTAGTCAAAATATTCCTTAGCACTATCATTATGGGAAACAATTATTCACATAACTATAATGCTTAATCTGTTCGATCTCTCCCAAGCTTTATGGAGAATCTTTTCTCCCTTACTGTTTTTATCAGTAATAACAGTAGGTTTCTCAATTTAAAATGCTAAATCAAGATTTAACACATCTAAATTTTTGAACTCAACTTACTCATTCCATTATGAGAAATTAGTCATATTGAGAATCAGAACAGATATAGCATGCGCATTAAAAGATATAATAAAACAAATATAATAAGATAAAATGCTCACAACAATAATGCTTTGAGTTAACAACACGTT